ATTCACAAAAAAGTAATTTTTTTAAAAAAAGTTGTTGTTAAGAACCAAATAAAAGTTTATTTAATTTTTTTTCCTTCATACAAAACAGTTTAAGCAAATATATCATAAAATAAATAACTGTTTAATTTTTTTATAATTTAAAAAAAATTAAACAAACTGCCACAATGTATAAGTTAAATATTTTACCTTCATGGTTTAAATATATCGTTGTAAGTCAATTTATTTTTTTAGAAAATTATTGTTGTAAGTCAAGTTTAGTCAAACTTATTTATAAAATAAAAAAATTACCTTTAAACAATTTCCTTAACTCGTAGCCAATTACAAATATAACTCTATTGGCCACTCTCAATTTCCTTTAAACAATTGAGTTGCATACATTTTTTTTTTCTTCATAAAGTCCATATCAGATTTTCTTCTGCAGATGAATGAAACACCATTTGGTCGATTATTAAATGAGATGTGTTATACATATAATAAAAATCATATAATAATTTATATAACATTATTTCTATCTGTATCTTTCTGGTGGGGTGTTGTTCCTTTTGGCTAGCTCACTTCACTAAGGTTGGTGAAGGCCATTCACCATGATATTCTCGAGGAAGAAGTCCCAATCAAGGAGGTTTCTATTTCGTAGGACAAGAAGACTTATCTGGCTTTTATTACTGCCCACGTAGGAAAATCGGGTACCTCTGTTTCGTGATCCCAACAAATGCCCCCCTAGGAATTCAATCTCAATATGCTTACCAGGCAGAGATTCGAATTCCTATCGAGCGTAGTTTTTCGTTCATTCATTGAAGTACTTTAAACAGACTTTATATTCTTTCGATGAAAACCTACTCTGACTTGCATTCTGATCTGTGTTTAATGCAAATGACCGTTTGACGCGACATTGATGGCACTAACGGCGCGTGCTTCTGTTTCCCATGTGTTTGTTTTAAAATAAAAACCGTTTTGGCGGCTGTTTTGGTCATTTAATTTGAATTTTTAACTCTATCCATGGGCCTGTTTTTACTTTGTATGGGCCTGTTTTTACTTTAAACCTGTTAGAGGTCCTTTTACCCTAAGGTAAAAACAATTTCATCACTACCTTCCTTCACGCCCAAGTCTCTTTGCTTTCTCTCTGCCCTGTTTCTTGATATTCTTCTCCGGCGAACTCTGTGTACTTTGCTTTCTCACTTTCCTTCCCAAGTCTTTTGCTTTCGTGCGTCAATGGCTTCTTCTGCTGCATCCATTTCCACCGCCATAGCCTCTACTGCTTCTCCTACTACTGTCTCGGCTTCGTCTCTGGTTCTGGCAACTACAACCTCGCCTACCGTGACCCCTGTAACAACCATGGCTACCACCACTGCGGCCTCTACTCATATGGCCCCTCTCCTGATGGCCAACACCCAGGTCGACAAGGTTCCAGATGGGGATGACACCTTCGTCCCTATTCCTGGTATGGAAGAGGCAAGCCTAAAGATCTTTCAATCTCAGGTACTGCTTCCTTTCTCTCTTGAGAACGGTAATGTGCATGCTTTCTTAGGGCCCTTCGTAGGTTAGAATAAGAAGAAATTTGCCAATACTTTGTTGCCTGAGGATGACTCTACCCTTCCCTTTATTCATTCTGCTAAAAAGATAGATTTATCATTGTTTGGAGATACCACTAAAATCTTTAGGGCCTTTCCTCCTATTAAAGATAGGCATTTGTCTTGGTTAACCCGCATAGAGAGTGAAATGAGTTCTTCCTGGATCAAAACTGGTATTTTTTACTTTATTCAACCTGTTAAGTTTGATTTACACCTTTTCGACCCCCAAATGCTTCTCTTTGCAATTTTCTTTTGGAATCGAGAGACTCGGGCTTTCGAATTCCCTTGCGGCTTCGTGTGCCCTACTTTATTGGACATCGCAGCGATCACTGGATTGGCTCCCATAGGAGAAAGATTCCACCCTGATATTCTCGAGGAAGAAATCCCCATCAAGGAGATTTCCATTTCGTGGGACAAGAAGACTTATCTGGCTTTTATTACTGCCCACGTAGGAAAATCGGGTACCTCTGTTTCGACTTCTGAGCACATCGCATTTTTAATGTACTGGTTATCTGCATGTGTCTTCTGCACCCCTTCACTTCAGGTTCCAAAATATTACTATGCCCTAGCTCAAGCTTTACACTCGAAGAAGCGAATCTGTTTAAGCAAACTTCTACTAACTTCTTTAGATACCTGTCTTGACGAAGCCTCTGAGAGCCTTTTCCGAGAAACTGGTCCTCGAAATCTTTCGGGACCCTTATGGCTGCTTCAATTATGGCTTAACGCCATTTTCGAGAAAAAACTTTCTTTGACTTCATCATTTGCTTCACCTTGTGCACTGGAAGGAGCTCGTTTAACCACTCTTACTCCTCGAAAATGCTCTATCCAGAACTTTGCCAAATATATAAAAGCTATCTTCAGTTTTACACACTTCAGTGAAGACTTGGCACCTTTCATTCGAACTACCTTACTAGGCCCTTCCTGGCTTCGACAGAACAATCAAGTGGGGCACATATCTCAGGACTCTCTCAAAATATGGTCTAGCTTCCTTTCATGGGATGTTATATTTTTAGGAGTGCGTCAAAAGGATGTTCGAATTTACCCTTATCAACCTCAACTCTTTGCCCGACAATTCGGACTTTGTCAAATGAAACCCCTTCCTCTTCGACCTGTAGAAAAAATTGATGCTGGCATTTGTGTTGAAGAAGGGAATTACCAAGAAGTGCTAGATTTTATACTTCACCCTGGCACAGAACTTCAGCTCACGCCTTTTACTTTCTCTCCTTCTTTCCTTGTTTTGAGATGTTATCTTCGTTGGTGGTGTACATATTATGTAGATAAACTTCTCGATTTTGATGTATTTTTAAAGAAGCTGATCAACTCTCCATTTTCTTCCCAGGGTCCCAAACAATCAGGTACTTTCAAGAATCAAATTATTATTTATCAGTTTGAGCAATTCTTTAAAGTTTGTTATCGACCTGACAATATTAGTCGAACCATCTTCGATGCATCCGTCTCTCTCTCGAAAATGGTACAGAGGAACATCCGCTCGAAAAAGGTAATTAATCCTCGCGGAAAAACTGATTTCGAAAAATTTTGTCCCAAAAGGATACCTCCTCTTCTTCGACTTCTGAGCGTCCTCCATCACTTTCTTTATTATTTTATTTATTATGAAGAAATATTATTAATAATGAGGAGATAGACATAAAAATAATATTTATCTATGTTTTTATTTATAAGATCTAAGTCAAAATAAATGTTATAAAAACTAATTTATAGTATTTAATTTACTACTTATTTTTAGGCTAAAATACTTTTAAATAAAATATATTCTCTTAATTTGATGGTATATAATTATAGAATCTTTAAAAAACATGTATTTTGATTGGTTAAAGATAAATAATATTAATTATAAAAAATAAATAATATAAAATATGCATTTTTAATTAGTTAAGAGAAAAATAAATATTAATTAAAATAACACAAGGATAATTTTGAAATAAAATATAAAAGTAGAACAATTTATTTTTATTATAAATTAAATTAATTACTTTTCTTAATCTTAATATTTTAGATATTTATATTTTATTAATAAAAACGTAATATAATTTATATTATGCGTATAACATTTATATTACTCATATTAAATACTCCTATACTCCATATAACGCCAGATTGTATCTCTCTATCCGTCTCTCTTTATGTAGTATGTAGTATAAAATTACCAATTATATTTTCATGTTGTGATATCAACATAAATATATTTAGATATTCTTTAATTTGAATTAATTATAAATCTAAATCAAACTATATATTTATTTTATCACTTAGAATATACAAATCATTGATGATAATTATTTTAGTTAATGTAATAAAAATGATATATTAATTTTATAATTGCCAACAAAATCATTTGTATTTGGGTAGAAAATATATTGAGATTTTATTTTATTAGACTGACTGTACTAGGTTTAAAAAGTAAACGAAATGTTATCATGTAACATTCACTTATGTAACAAAATATTCTTTTACACGTGTGCGAGAAAGATATACAATCAACATGTGACGTGATTACTAAAACAAATGCGATATGATCTAATTATGTGCAGGATTCAATTTGTAATAATACCCTTAAATTAGTTATTAATCACAATTTAGGACAATGGTTAAACAGTTAAGAACTATTTTTTTTTACGTGTAATTTCTCATAAAAAAAGTTTTTAAGTGTAATAATTTTTTTTGACTAAAAGTTAATTAAATAACATGTTTGTACTAGCAATAGAAACTATCTAAAATATTACTACAGAGAGTTTCACTTGGTCCTAAATGCTTTACTTCCAACTTTTTTAATTCTTCAACAACAAGCAAAATCAACAATTGTTGTGGGGTTAGGGTTTAGGGTTTAAAATATATAAAAATATTATAATTTAACTCAGGAGAAAAATAAAAAAATGATCCTGTGTTATTATAATTGATTTTTTATATAACATTCTAATGATTCTATAAATGTCCTTTCAATAATTTATTTTCCATTAAATATGTACTTAAACTTTAAATCACAGTGACAAACCTTGAGAAATTAAAAAAGAAAAAGGGTAAGAGCATTTAAATTTTTACAGCATCATGATGCACACCTTAACATCCGAAGTCATCTCTCAAAAGTCAAATTGTTTCCTAATTTATTTAATTTATAACATAAAAAGGGGGAGGAGAAATACAAGTTGAAATGTAGCTATCTGTTGCACATAGAAATAATTCCGAAATCCACCCACCTACCCAATTAATAAATAAATTAATTACCAAATAATAGCCCATAAGAAAATATAAATACACATCCTACGATACAATCTGCCATTTCCAATTTTGAATTCACAGCTTCAGAGGAAAGAAGGGGAGAAAGAGAGAGGGAGAGACGGCATCGTTTCGCCTACGTGGACGGTGCTGACCTGCTACCGGTAAAACCCTCTTACACGGGATCGTATTGGAGGAAATAAAAATAATAAAAAAATAAAAAGAAAAACGGGGTAGGACGGTACGGTCACTTGCTTGCACTCTCTCCACTCTCCAGGACTCGCTTTCCACCGTTCGTCTTCTTCTATAAATATCCCCTTTCGACCACCTGCTCATTTTTTCCCTTCTCTTTCTCTCCACTTCGCCATTCTCTTCCCCCACCTTTTTCCGGCGAGATCGCCGGCTGCCACCGTCGTTTCCGCCGGACAATACCTCCCGGCGTCGCTGTCGCCGTTCTCTTCCAGGTTATCTCCTCCCTCCGCGTTTTGCATCTCAGCTTCGTTTATTTCCCTTTCGTCTTCTCAGATCTGTCTCTTTTTCTGTGTAACAATGAATTGCGCTCATTCCGACTTCACAGCTTCCGAATTTGACTCTCATGTGTGATTTATTATTTTTTTCCCTTTTTTTGTCTTGTCTGAATCGTGTGTTAATGGTGATTCTTCCTTTTTATTCCTTACGGATCTTGATCTGTTACTTATTTTCCTTTAATGCGCCATTTGACGTTTCGTTATTGTGTTCCGTTTTTCATATTTTATGATGCAATGGACAGAGCTGAAGGTGTTTCGTGTTGCCGAAAATGTACGGAGATTTTGCTTTTTTGTTTTTTTTCCCCCAAATTTTCTTCCTATTTCTGGAGTTTCATCTTTACGAAAGGTTACGTATATAATGTTTTTTTTTATCATTTTGATTATTTGATCGTCACTCGTGATTGTGCTTTGCGTTTCTGATTCCGTCATTAGCTTTATGATTTTTTTAATACACATAATTTTTTTTTTCCTGATTTGGCTGTTAGGAATACGTTTGGTTTGGTTTTGCGTTTGACCTTGGAGTATTTTTTTTTTTGGATGTAGATAGTATCTATTTTTTACATAGTTGTACGGTTATTGGAGAAGCGAAGAAAATGGACGGCCATATGGGAATGAGGAAAACCAGCTCTCACTGTTCTATCTCTGAGATGGATGATTTCGATCTCTCTCGTCTTCTTGACAAGCCTAGGTTGAACATTGAGAGACAGAGATCATTTGATGAGAGGTCACTCAGTGAACTGTCCATTGGTCTTGCGAGAGCGGGCTTGGATAGCTATGACACTTATTCACCTGGAGCTGGAGGAAGATCTGGCTTTAACACACCTGCTTCATCTACGCGGAACTCCTTTGAGCCTCACCCCATGGTTGCTGATGCCTGGGAATCCCTCAGAAAATCTCTAGTCCATTTTAGAGGCCAACCAGTTGGCACAATTGCAGCTGTTGACCATCAATCAGAGGAAGTTCTAAACTATGATCAGGTGAATAACTCAATCAACACTGAAATGTCGAATTCCAGTTTTAGGGGTGTGTTCTAAATTTTTAAAAAATTCAATGAACGAAGTTGTTCTTAACATGCTTGCTTTTATTACTTTAATTTGAAAATAACGGTACACTAGAATACTTGAAGTTGAATTAGAGAATGTGTGCATGTGTGCACGAGATATACATTTAATTTAAAACTGCCAAAACCCCTTTGATTATTGATAAGTTTTCAGAGGCAATTTGAACCTGAAACATTAAACAATGAGGGTTGCTGCAAGATGTAAGACATATGATCCATGACAAAATAACCTGATAACATATGTTTGGTCTTTTGTATTTGCCAAAAAGGTTGAATGTAATGAATATATTAGTACTACTATATTATATATTTGACTGAACTTTTGTGTTGAAAATATTTTGAAAGCCCCAACATTTCTGAAAATTAACAGAAATGAATCATGTAGTTGTTGAATTATTGATTCAGTCAGACAGAATTCATTTAACATACAACTTAGCTCCCTTTAGATTTTGGAAATCACAATGTTTAGATGAATGTCAATGAAAAGTCTAGCTAAGCAAAGAACCTAATTGACAAAAAAATGTTTCATTTGGGAAATTCATTTAGAGTTGGACTTGTAGTTATTTTGCATACACCTTAGTCTAAACATGCATAATCGATTGTTTCTGCCCAGGCATAATCTATAGGTTTTTTTTGTTAATTGTGTGTCCTACAAACCTAAAAGCACCATGAAGGCATGAATTAAATATTTTTACTGGCACACATTGATGGGGGTCATCTAAGAGTGAGTAAGATATTTATTAATTAAATATTTTTTTTATAGGTTTTTGTTCGAGATTTTGTGCCCAGTGCCCTAGCCTTTTTGATGAACGGTGAACCAGATATAGTTAAGAACTTCTTGTTGAAGACCCTGCATCTTCAGGGGTGGGAAAAAAGAGTAGATCGATTTAAGCTTGGTGAAGGTGTAATGCCAGCCAGTTTCAAAGTCCTTCATGATCCCATTAGAAAAACAGATACTCTTATTGCAGATTTTGGTGAAAGTGCAATTGGAAGAGTTGCTCCAGTTGACTCTGGGTTTTGGTGGATCATTTTACTTCGTGCGTACACAAAGTCTACCGGGGATTTATCTCTGGCTGAATCACCATCTTGTCAAAAGGGAATGAAACTTATACTGACTCTATGCTTGTCAGAGGGGTTTGATACATTCCCAACTCTGCTTTGTGCTGATGGATGTTGCATGATTGATCGAAGAATGGTAAGGCATAATTTGTGGCTGTTTCTCAATATGTAAGATAATTAATATTGCTTGTGTTATCTTGTTATGAGTGGTGTTTGTTGTATTCCATTGTTTGTAAGCAAAGTTAGCTATTTTATGGTGCAATGATTCAAATGCAATTAGATTTATTATTACAAGCCATGCTCTTATTCTGCTATGTTAAATTCTTCAATTGATATGGCATAAAGTTATTGGATGACAGTGTAGAATCTTTTTTACACCGACCAGTATCAGATTTAAACTGTTTAAATTATTATATGTAGTTTCAAGTCCCTTGGAGTTGATCTTTTACTTGTCTTTGGGTGATTTTGAAGAACTTGAATATTTTAGTAATTGTTTCTTCTTCTTCCTTTCTTTTTTCTTGCAGGGTATTTATGGTTATCCTATAGAGATTCAAGCACTTTTCTTCATGGCATTGAGATGTGCTTTGTCAATGCTGAAACAGGATGATGCAGAAGGAAAGGAATGTGTAGAGCGTATTGTGAAGCGTTTGCATGCACTAAGTTATCACATGCGAAATTACTTTTGGCTTGACTTCCAACAACTAAATGACATTTATCGTTATAAGACAGAGGAGTACTCACATACTGCAGTAAATAAGTTTAATGTTATTCCTGATTCAATCCCAGATTGGGTATTTGATTTTATGCCAACACGTGGGGGCTACTTCATTGGTAATGTCAGTCCAGCCAGGATGGATTTTCGATGGTTTGCTTTAGGCAATTGTGTTGCAATTCTATCTTCTCTGTCAACACCAGAGCAATCAATGGCTATCATGGATCTTATTGAAGCTCGCTGGGATGAGTTAGTTGGGGAAATGCCCCTAAAAATATCTTATCCAGCAATAGAGAGCCATGAGTGGCGAATTGTTACTGGTTGTGATCCCAAAAATACCAGATGGAGTTACCATAATGGAGGATCTTGGCCAGGTTCTTCCTTTCTGCTTATTTATTTCAACTTCAAAATGCATTTAACATTGGATTTGGGTCATGGTTGGTAGCTTGTTCGCATGACTTTAGCAGTTATACTTCGGATTACTCGTACATTTCAGTTATTTGGGTAACCCCATGAGATGTGGTTAGGCTGTTAGGCATCAGCTTAGCTTTTGCCACAGGTTGTTTCCTGTACGTTTCGAAAATCTTCACCCACATGAAGCTCAGTTTGCAAACTGAGACACACCTTTTGGCAGTGTCGCCATATTTTAGTTACGATGATAATATGTCTGTCCTTAACTTAGAATAGAAAGGCAGGATGTGTGGAATGCATCGTTTTTGATTCCGAGTAACTTCATAATGTCTTAGGGTCGGTTTGTTTGATTTGTTTTATTATAGATTTCATGGAAAACAAAAGTTATTTTTGGTTTAGTTACAATTAATAAAAAAGCACACTATCTTAAAAAGTAGTTATAATTACAGTATTTTTTTTAACTATTAAAAAAATTAAAATAATCAGAATTTAGTCTTTTTTGTTAAAGCTTAAAAATATTTTATTTTATTTTTTTTCCAAAACAAAAAGTAATTTCTCATGAAAAAAAATGAAACAAACGGGCACTTAATCTTTAATGTGGCACACATTGATCATGAAGAACTGTTATTACTTATTAGCAATATTGTTAGTTGTTCACAATGAATGGTAATTGTCTTCTACTAGAGGCTGTGGTAACTATATTGTGGAAACAATTATAAACATAGTTTTGATAGCCATATTTTTAACTTTTAATTTATGCTTTGTTTTTTGCCCGACTGCAGTGCTCTTGTGGCTAGTAACAGCTGCTTGCATCAAAACGGGGAGACCACAGATAGCAAGACGTGCAATTGAGCTTGCTGAGAGTCGTTTACTGAAGGATGGGTGGCCTGAATATTATGATGGTAAACTTGGGAGATATATTGGCAAACAGGCAAGAAAATACCAAACATGGTCTATTGCAGGTTATCTGGTAGCAAAGATGATGCTGGAGGACCCTTCACACCTGGGGATGATTTCCCTTGAAGAAGATAAACAGATGAAACCGGTGATTAAAAGATCATCCTCTTGGAATTGCTAAACAATTCAGGTGATAGATAAATAGTATAAAAAACGAATAGAGAAAAACTTAGAAGGTGAGATATTGTTGCTTCAATACACGGCACTATTCTTGGTGATTCCCTTCCTCGTAGGCTTGATTGAAAGTTTGGTTTGTGTAAAATAGCTGCTGCTGAGACTGGCATCATGCTTTTCCCAAATAAGTAAAAAGACACTTAAGTTTCATGTTCGCTAAGTTTAATGCTACTGTCCCCCTTGTGGCTTGGGATGATTATTAGTTAGATAAGAAAAAGTATGAAACATTCTTCATTATATTAATGTGTTTCCTGACAGTTGTCAATAAGGCTTCTTTTAAAAAGGGGCTAGAACAGAAAGCATTAGCTTCTTTATTTTGAACTTTAGGTCTACTGTTCACTTTGCTAAAAACATGGTAAATTATGATTTTTTTTTACTATTTTCCATGAATACAAATCTCCTTTCCGTTGAGTTTCTTTTCCATGTAAATCACATCCTATGATGTTTTATTATTGTTTTGCACTTTATGGTACCAATCAGATTTTCTTGCTGAGGTATCATTTTCTAAGGGGGAACATTAATGTTACACTAGTAGACATTTCGTTGTAGTGTTCAGCAGTCGATTTAATTAAATGGTAAATCTTCAAAAAATAAACTGAATTTTAAAAAAGTGCATTGATTTTTATTTATTCATTATTACTTGTATGAATATACTCATACTCTAATTAAAAATTTTACATTCTTGTTCCAAATTGCACCACATTTTTTTAATGTTTACAAATGCATCTAATTTTGTTTTTTGTTTTTTGTTCTTGATTATATATTTTTCATATATATAAAAATAGGTTTTAATAAATAGATAAACAAAATAAAATAGGATTAGATATTCTTAACAAAGTCGCCCAATAACCCAAGAATGTAAGTTAATTTGTAATTTAAAACTGTTAATTGTAGTTTTCTGTGAATTGAGCATGGACTCAAATATGCGAATGAGTGCTGCAGCTTCTCCTCTTTACAAACTCACATCGCTCATTTGCAAGTTGCAACTTCCAAAATGGGTAGGTAATCAAATATGTTTCAATTCACCTAATGGAAAGGTGTACACGTGCTGACTTGTTAGTTAAGCTTTGTCTTTCATGGTATGTTTGTCTGGATGGGAAGTATTACGATAATGAATGTAGAAAAGAATAATTTATTTTTTTGAGTATATAGTGAATTGTTTAAGTATGCATAGAAAGATGCATAGTTGATTGCTATTTAAATTTTTGTTGATGCAATTACGAAAGTTTTCTCGAATAAACGCAAGGGAATACTTGATGGGTTAATTTAAGCAACTAGATTATCCATTGAAGAAATTATGTAGCGTTTAAGATTGATTTTTTTAATTTTTTTTTATTTTAATTTTGGGTACTCTGTTAAGATTGAATTCCAATTTGAATATCTATTTTCATGTATTTAAGCTATTCATTCTCGTATTTTAAAAGTCGAAGCTTAATCTTGTTACACTAGTCCGGTTTAAGCAAAAAGTGCGAAACGAAAATATTTTATACAGGAGAAAAAGCATTTTATTCAAGTATGAACAGAAAAGTATAGAAGACGTATACGAATTAACCTATCCCTAATTTCTCATATATATATATATATATATGTATATGTATGTATATATATTCATTCTTTCTTACCAACTAACTTAAAAATTTCACTTTTTACTAATTTGATTTTTTCCCTAAACGAAGTGTATTTAGGATGACAAACTTATCACCTTTCTTTTATCTCTTTTGGGTCCCTTTTATACATTTCCAAGTTCCAACATAGCCTTGTTCTCACACCTCTTTTTGTATGTAAAAATACTAAGGTGGAAAGACATCTCCATTATATATCACAACACAATTATGTTGAGATACACAACACGTATACATTTTCATTCTGTTATAAATTAAGTGTAAATGTAAAATACGTAGAGTGAGATGCATTTAAGGCAAAGGGAAGAAGATACATAATTAATTGTCCTCGAATAGCAAAATGGTCTAATCCTTCCTTCACGTGATTAAAATGTCTAACTTTATGCTAGTAGCCCCGCGGTTCACGTGATATTCACTGTAGTCTTTGGAACCCAGAGTTCAAGGGAGAAAATTAGATGTATTTTGACTTTTTTTTAGCTGTGAATTGACTGATTGGGATATTTACATAAACTATATTGTTTTAAAACTAATGACATGAGGTTCTTTTAAACTACTAGAGGTAATTTTTTATAATCTCAAAAAGCCCCCCAAAAGTGACTGTCAATAATTTCGTAAAATTTCTAGAAAATGACCGATTACAACTTTGATCATAGTATTGGTCATAACAACATACAACTTTCTATGATTGCTAATAAATAACTCTCAATAATTTAAAATAATTTTGTATTAATAATTTAACTTAAAATAACCTTATTTCGATAAATAGTGTATAAAAATATATAATTTAATCGATCACTCGTTTCGTGTAGAGCCAAAAACAGATAACATGGTTGATTAATTTAATGTTAGATAATAATCATTCTATTACATTTCTCATTTAGCTATAAAAAAATTGAAAAACTTTCATTGAAAAATACAGTATATAATGTTATCAAAACATTTTCACTATGATTAACAATAAAATCTTTCTTTCGTCTGTTAGCTAAATTAACCAAGAATAATGACATTCAACACCGTTATAAATAATAAAAAAAAGCTAACTCACACTTGACAAAATCATGAATGAACCACACCAAAGTGTTACACTTTAATGACCCTACCTTGCTCATACCACACACAGTCCACAGTCCATACAACTAGCCAAAATATCTTCAAAGACATGTGTCAATCATCACGAACAAGACTCTTGTGCATTATTTGCACTAGATTTAACAAAAACTTGAGTTTGTTTGAGATGATGAAAGAGCTGATTGCTGTTGCTCTGCTGCATGCTTTACTGGTTAGGTTTGATTTGCATCTAAATATATAAAATAAGTTCATTAAAACTAACTCATACATAAATTAATTTATAATCTTTTAGAAAGGTTATAGAAAAACCTCTACAAATTAATTTATATATGAACTAATTTTAACTTATAAAAGAAATTGTTTTAATTTTTCTTCTTGTAAGTGTTCTTAGAGATGTTTGTTCATAGATTGTAATCTGTACAACGAATTCTTATTGCCAAAACCAGCGACTAAAGGGAAAAAGAAGAAGAAAAAAAATATAGATATCATAACATTAAACATTGGCTTAAAAAAAAATATCTTGAACTGGTGCACATGGCCTGGGCCATTGTCTATGTTGAACTCTATCAGGGTCCACTTGGGGAGTGGATTGAAGAATCTTGCAACTGGCATAAGTTTGTTGTTGCACTTAGCTCAGGAAATGGGCCCAATGAGACCTGAAAGTCAAAATATGGATCAACTTGTGAAAGTGGGCCTGTTTCAAAAAGTAGCCCAACTTTGTCGCCCACATGCTTCCATGTCACAGACACAGACGCGCCCAAGATTTTAGATATAAAAAATAAACGTGCACACACAATCTTATCTGATGAAACCACGCAATAAGCTAATGTTGAGCATATAATTTCATATAAATAATCATGATTATTTTAGTTCATTTTAATACTTTATTTTAGTTATAACCACGATTCAATTTATTTTATGTTCCAATTTTTTTTTTCATTATAAAAAAAAACTATTGTATAAAATGGATGTTATTTCTAATAACTGAATTTGATCTCCACATTTAATGGGACCATTATTATATTCTTAATAATCATTACTTTTAATTTTTAAACGCACTCTCTTCTCTACATATTTATTTTTTAAATAAAAATATATAGAGTCAGGAATGTATTTTTTTTCACTAATATACACAAACTTTTTTTTCTCAATTTTTTGTTAAGATATCTTAATCATGAGTGAAGTTGTATTCTCTATTATACACTTGTGTTTTTTGTTTAACTAAATGTAGAAAAACACAAAGTGGCCTCTAAATGTAGAATTGGGCATGTATGATGGGGTAAGCAGAGACAGATATTTATGAAAGAAAAGAAAGGTGACATAGATACATGCATACTAAGTGGGTTGAACACGTATTTGCAACATTTGATGGAGCATCCCCACAACTCCACCCAGAATCTAAACTGTCTCTAACGAAATATTTAGCACTTGCAATGTCCAAATAATAAATATGACATACTGATACCCAAACGGATAAGATCCCTCCAACCCAACCTCATGACAATATCAGAAATGACCTTTTTAGGTATAAAAAGTGAAGGCTCAGAAGAATTTCAAATGCACCCATACACAGTGCTCCTAAAACTCAGTTTCTATCTTTTAAAGATAAGGATATATCTCTGTATTTTATTTTTTAATGAAAGTTGTTAACCAGTTTTTTCAGATGATTGATATATAGTACTGTATTTCATAGTAAAAAAATTTAATTATTTAAATAATATCTGTTTTTATTTTTTTATTTTAATTTCATTAACAAATATTGTAAGACCAATCATTAATACTTATGTTTCATAAATGCTGCCCTGCTATTATGGTTCTTAATTATATCCGACCCATAGAAGCTCAAGATATTTGAAGACTTCCATCTGTCCAAGCCCAACTATAGACATCTATATAGAAACAAATAATTCAACAATCAATCGAAATAACAGATATTTTTATAATTATGTCATCAATATCTATTAGTTTTGTTAATTAATTTTTAGTAAAAAGTATGGTTAATCATTTTGAATGGAACTTGTCCACTTAAGCATTATTGGGTTGATTTAAGGAAAAAAGTGATTAGCATTTGAAAGGGAGAGAGCAATGTTAGCGTGACAAGTTGTGTTGGACTCATCAAATACCAGAAAGTCGGTGGTGGAAATCTGGTCACGTTACCAACTATCTACTTCTACTTCTCTTCTCCTCTCTCACACCCATTTTTTTTTAATATTTTTTTTAATTATGCATCATTTTTTTTTACTTCCTTTTCTCCCTTTGATTTTTCTTTTAAGTATTGCAATATTTTTAAACTTTAAAATCAGTAGTCTCAAATTTGAGTTTTAGATATATAATTACATTATATATTTGAAATTAAAGAATCTTACTTGACTCAAACAAAATTGTTTATAATGAAATAAAATACTTGTGATTTTTTTTATTATAAAAATTTAATTACTTTTAATTGCTCATATTAATTTATGTTAATTGTTTTATAATTATTTTATTTTTATCAATTTACTTTTAAATTATTTCTAATTTGCTAGGTTAGTTAATTTATATAAGAAAAAATATTTTTAATTACAAATTACTATTAACTTTTCTTATGGTGGTGAGTAAATTTTTCCCTCCCTTATCAACATTTTCTTGTTCCATCCCTAACTAAATGAGTATTCACCATAATAGAGAACAAATAATAAAGTATCCAATATGTGTATACACATTTTAAAAATATTTCAAATACTTTTAAATATATAGAAAAAGGAATTTAATTTAATTCATTTATATTATATATATACACATCGATTGTAATAATTTATTTTTAGTACAAATATATGTTTTAAATATTTTTTAAGTTTTATTTTATTTCTTATCTATTTATTTAAAATTTAAAATTTTAAAAAATATTCACGAATATTCATGAATACTTTAATGTATATAAAAAAATTATGAATACCTTCTAAATGAATATATGCACTAAACAAACAGGTAGGAAGGGGCTACCACTCACCACTGTCCCACCCCATTTTATTACATTTGTTAAAATGAATTTCAATTATTTTTCTTATTAGGTTTATTTATTTAAATTTTAAAAAAATGTTTTTAAAACATGCTTTTAAAAAAAGAATTCTTTAAGAAGCAGATATTAGTTGCTTCTGAAAAAAAAACCAAAAAGCTGCTTATGTTTTTTAAAAAAAAATAAATTTAGACAAATATATAAAAAAATAAAAGAGCACTTATTTTATAAAAAAAATGCTTTTAAGATTTTTTTTTTAAATAAACAGACTGATTATCAGTGTATATTATAATTTCTAAAGAAAAATATTAATTATCCTTAAATACTATATTTGTTTTGTTTCCATAAATTTTTTTAAATGAACAAAAGTTTCATGCAGATACAATTAAATTCTCTTTATATTTAATGGGTTAAAATTAAAAATTTAAATACAAATTAAATACATTTTATTTATAACTTCTGTTACCGTAATTATGACAAATTTTAATTAACTATCCTATTAGTATTATTGGTATGTATTCAGTTTCTGAAAAAAAGTCAATTACACTTAAATATGGTCTTTATTTTTTACGAATATTTTTTTATTTGTCCTAAACAAAGGGTTGCATTTAAATACAATTTGATTAGTTAAAATCAACTTAATTTTATTTATAACTTTCATAGTTGTCATTACAACAAATTTTAAATTAACTATCCTATTATAAATTCACATCCAACAGATGATTATAATTAATATATATATATATATATATATATATATATACTTTTTATATTTCTTTTATAACATTTTATAGATTTAAATATATTTTTTTCTATGCAAATATTTCTGTCTATTTTATTCTTTATAATATAGTGAAAATTAAAAATAAATTATAAAATTAAATTATATATAATTACCTTATTTATTTAAATAATAAACAATAAGCATGTTACTTAATTAAATTATGCATGTAAAAATAATTTCATTATCTTAATTTAAAATATTTTTGTTACCCTAATTATATATTTTATATTTTGTTTTCCATTATAATTCTAAACTAATTAGAATTAGTGACAAGTGATTGAGTTATTTTATGATATTTGTCTGAGGAGATATTTTATGAGGGTTATATTTTTATATGGTTATTAAACAAACATACTCCACAATGATGAGATATTATCCGCTTTGGACCTTAACCCTCACGATTTTGCTTTGGTCATCACCCAAAAAGCCTCTCGATCATGTAAGTGTGTTTGTATTATATAAGTTGTTATTTGTTATCTTATTTTATCGATGTGAGACTTGTTTGTATCCCAACAATAAGAACTAAAAAGCAACACTAATAAAATGTCAAGAATTTAAAAACGAGAAAAAAATTAAAGACTATAACAAGAAAAATATATTTACAGCAACTTAAAAACATATTTAAGTATATTTTATATTGCTATTGTGATATATGTATTATATGTAAAGTTATTAATTTTTGTATGTCCAAAATAATAACATTTTAGTCGCTACAAGAAAATTATTGTCATATAATGACATACATCTTACAATGACATAAAAATTGTCACTAAAAATTATTTTTACCTACATAATAAATGTAGTACTTATATGTTGATCTATTGTTAAAAAATGTGGATATAGACTATAGTGACACACAAAACATGTTATTAAATCTCATTTAAAATTAACACTAAAATTATATATATCCATATATCAACCTACATATATTATATTTATTTATGACATTTTTTGTATATCACTGTATGTAACATTAATTTCTTATAATGAGTCAACTGTCTTTTTGCTCATCAATGAATTTATAAATACATTAATAACAAAATTTTAAAATTAATCTCTATTAAATGTTGAAGATAATTAAAACTGCACTCATTCTTTGGTTGTTTTAAATAGTTATTTAAGATTATTGTATACAAATAAAATAATGTAATAAATATTAATTTGGTAATATTATAAAATTTATTAAGATTTATATAATTAAATATAAAAAATTTGTCTAAAAGGAGGAAGATTATATGTAATATTGATGAATACATAATTGATAAAAAATCCTTGATTAATAAAAAAAAATTGTTAAAATGAAAAGTAGAAGTAGAAGTAGAAGTATGCAGTAAGGCAAGATCACGGGTTGTGACTGGTATGAGTCATACCTCATTTATCATCTTCCAAGTTCCAACCCATTATATAACCCACTTTCATGCATTATGCACTCACAAGAATCACATAACCCTACTTTTCCTCTACCCCACCATATCTCCTAACAATATGCCACTCAAACACTTCACTCTCTTTCTCCTCTTCATTTTCATCCTTTCCTCCACACCGGCTGCCGGAAGAAATCCCCGTTTCATGTCAACCGGCGGTGCACCGTCATCGGGATCCGGTTCGGCCCACGGCCCAAACTGGGGCTATAGTTGGGGATGGGGCTCCGCACCCGGTACCGGCTACGGCTACGGTTCCGGTTCAAGCCATTCCCCAACGGGTTCTAGCTACGGTTTTGGCTTTGGATCCGGGTCCGGGTCTGGATCTGGATTCGGATATGGATTTGGTAGTGGTGGTGGCACTAGTGCCGGTGGTTATGGGTCTGGAAGTGGTTCGGGAAGCTCTAGTGGCGGTGGCTATGGTCGTGGTGGTGGTGGTGACAATAATAGGTTACCATCAACTTCTAAGGATAAAACCAACCATGGGTAAATTGTATTCATCATGGAGTTATAGCTGGCTATGTGTGCCTTTCTTGATAGTGTATTACTATTTATAATGATATATTTTGTGAAAAAAATTTGAATAATATTGTGTATGCATGGTAGATTGCTAGAGCTAGCTAGCCATAAAGCTAAGCTTTGGAGTTCCTATGTGCCTAATGAAAAATCTCAACATAGACGTATAATTTGCAATGCTATTGGTACTCTCTCTCTTACATTTGTAAGTTTTGTCTTTATTCTAATACTTGGTCAGGGTTTTGCGTTTTCTAATTTTAGTTAGCTAGATTTGGTTTGCATGAAGGGAATCAATTTAATCTGCGTCGAACTGATCGTGAATATAACAATGATGTTAAGAGTTGAAACTTTGCTTGACAGATACTTTTAGAGAGTTATAAGCACCTGTTTGGCTTCACGTTACCCACATCTGTGCAGAAGCAGAAGCAGAAGCAGAAGCTACAATTTGAATAGCTTCTGCATATCTTTTTGATGATTGACGTGAAAATTTAGCCAAATCTTGGAGTCCTGAATGTGTGTCCAAACACTCGGTAATTAATCAATCACAAGTACCCTTCTTCGAACTTAAATTACGATTCAAAGTTCTTTTATTTTTTTATTTTTATCAAAACTTGCAAATTAACATGTCCCCAATGGAAGGAGATCAAAAGAAGATATAAAAACCAAAAGATTGGGTACCATAAACCAACGAATTAATGTGAGCTTGGGCTGCAAGTTAAGCGTGTGGTTAATTAACTAATTGCATGGCAAGTTGTTGTTTGTATTATACATATATAGCGTTAATGAAAGGTAAGGAGTTGATCATCGGCTATAATTCGGTATCCACAATTTCAATATAGGCAGCTATTATTAATACATAGAAACTGTTTTTGTATAAAAATGATGGAGTGATAAACACATCACTTTTAATTATTCATTTGGTGCTCCCTTCATTCGCTTATATTTCACATTTTAATTTTTATACTAAAAATAAAAAATAAAAATGCAGAACTATATATCTACATAATTATAAAATAAGAATAAAAACTAAATAATTGTTTGGACTGAGTATTGAGGTATATTTAACAAGTGGAATGGAGTTTATACATAAAAAAATATTGTTTCATTTGCTTGCACTTAAGTAGTAGTGAATAAAATAAATTGAATTGAACTTATAAAAATTGTACTGAATTAAAATGAAGTTTACTTGAACAAAACTGAATTGGATATTGATTCAAACAAATTGAACTCAATTATTTTTTTGGTTCACTGAATTGAATTGAACTTTACTTAATTTGAAAGTTTAAATTGAACTAAACTTTGAATTATTTTAATACTTTGAATTAAATTGTTTTGACTTGTTAGTTCATCAAAACAAGTCACATTTGTCAACTTTATTTTATTTTTAATTTAAAAAAAAATTACAAAGAAAAATATGTATAAAAACAAATATTGAGCCACATAGACTTAATAGGCTTTAACTCTTCAAGTCTACAATTTAGTAATCCAACCTAATCTAATAAGTGGTTAGTTTACTAGACTTGATTGAATAGGTATAATTTTTATTTAAGTCACTTCTTTCAAAGTTTGGATTGTCAAACTATTGGATCAACTGATCAAAACAGATATATATATATATATATATATATATATATATATATATATATATATATATATATATATATATATATATATATATATATATATATATATATATATATATATATATATATATATATATATATATATGTTAATTATTAGTAATTATGTTCTGGATATGAAATATTCATTATCTTTATTAATAACTAATTTTTGTCAACAAATTTGGTTGACCACATTCAATGAAATTTCTTTTTCCATTCATTTTTTTTTCTACATACAATACTCAAAGTTAAGACTTTATTTAAAGATGTTGAGTTTTATACTATTTGGATCAATAACTTGTTGATTAACAAATATATTTTAATAATAAATAATATTTATATAATAAAAAATAAAAATAAATGCATTTAAGTAATGTATAATGGCAAGATCAATTTAATAAGTGATGTAAATTATAAAGATGAGTGATGTATAAGGTATGATCCATTTAAAATAAGTAAAAATAAAAATAAGAGAGGACTAGAATATGACATCAACATGTTTAGGTGTAAGGCATGCTATGACACTCTAACTCTATGATGCACCTCCTCTAAGGGTGGTTGATGTCTTTTTTACTAGGTCTCTCCTCTATGTAGCTTAAATTTGCTTTGTTGCTTTCTTACTTCCTCAACTATACCAAAGAAAAGTAGAGCTGCTTTCGGTGATCAAATATGATAAGAAAATAAGAAATAAGATATGATATAGTAACATTATTAATTATTATATTATATACAATATATTTGAGATAAAATAATAAGATATGATATAAATTACATTTAAATAACAAAATTATTATTTGGATAATGGTACATATAATATTCAAAGAAGTAACTGGCACTCTCTCTCGCGAGAAATTCTGTATACGTGTTGTCTTTTTGGTTCATTTGAGAAAGACGATGATGCATATATATATATATAAAAGGCACGTTGAGATTTTCCCTAGTAGTAAAAGACAAATTAATTTGGCGCAAAAATAAAGCATCATTATTTGTGCCAAATCTTAAGGATCATGGCAATCACTTTCAACATAAATTACTAACTCAGGAACTGTCAGTTTTAAATGTTATAATGGGCATCGATAAGTTTTAGCCATATAACTTTCCACTTACTCCCCCACTAACTTATTGCCAACCAAATCTATGTTCTCATCTCATCTCCATCTCCATTTTATGGTTCTCAACGTAACCACGTGCATTTGCAAAACCCCCCATCCTCTTTCTTTTTATGTTTTGTTAAAGCCATTGTTTGTATAGATTAATTTCTAGCTGTAAGTGAAATTATTACCTTTCAAATTTACCTGGTTACTGTAATAATAACTTATACACGTACCATTCATACAATTGTAGCATCTCTTCTTTCTCTTTAGACTTCCTACTTGCTAGCTATGCCATGTTTGGATGTGATATAATTATTTTATATAATCGCTTCGCTTTCAGTACTTTACGTCTTGGCCCATATGGTTTCGTTTCGTCAAATGAATTTCATTCACTTTATTGCAACAAATATTTTTTTTTCTTTTTTTTTTTAATTCCCATTTGCAGCGTGCAATATCATTGATTGTCTATTTTTGGAGAAATTATGTTTATTATTAAAGGAACTGTGTAATCAATTAGTAGCAGTGGCAGATCCAAGATGTTTGGTCAGTGGGAACAATTTTTTCAAAAATAAAAATTAATAACCATCTTTATATATATAAAAAAACATAAATATAAAAAATAATATTAAATTAGAAAGTACAAAATATAATATTTGTAAATATACATTAATAATTTATTATTAATAAAAGTGAGGGATGTATTTATATATCCACTTTTATTATAATTTAAGCATGTCAGTGATTAGTAACATTCTTGACAAAAAGAAAAAATGATTTAACAACTAAAACTTTCACTATTAGTTGGGTGGTTAAATGATTTATGATAGCCAAATAAGGTGGTTACAATAAATATAGTAGTTAACATATTTAGCTATTAAGTTATATTAACATGGTTGAATAAGTGGAAAATTTGTTTGTTTAATTAGCCGAGTTATAGTTTTATGTGATCAACACATTACATGAGATATATTTTTTTTAAAGAAACATTGTGGAAATAGAAGGCATTTAATTAGCGATGATTATGATTGAAGGAGACAGTTGAATAGCACTAGTATAGCAGTGATGATCGAAAACTTTGTAGCACATAGATCCACTTGAAATTTCTGCACTCACTAAAGTGTCTTTTTGAAGCATCCAGATTATATTGGAAGTGAACAGCCGTTTATGTTTCTTTCAAGCTAAAGGCTACAAATAGCAGTAGGAAAGATACAAGCATCTTCTGCCCAAGAGATTAAATAATTATGACAATAAAATATATTCACATTGAGAATTGAGATTCTAGGAATATGCAGTTCGTGATTTTCGAAATAGTTGTAATGTTAATGTTAATTAAGCCACCGGGGAAGGGATTTTAATTATAACATCTTCCTTCTTGTTGGGTCTTTTGGGCTTAAAATGTGTAATAGTTACAAAAATTTAAATTGATGCACAATGATATACGATTTTATTTTTAAAGAGAATATAAATATTTTTGACAATTTTACTTAAATAATATACGATTATTATAGGTTTATAAAAAAATAAAATTATTATAAACAATGAAACTCTTTTTTGGAAATATTTAACATTTGCAATTCAAATTCAAGATTAAAAGTGATTGTAATCCGACGAACTTAATAATCTCAACCAAATCAATTAAATTGATTTATATATTTTTTATAGATCTAATATAAATCAAACTAATTAAATTCGATATTATACATTTAAAATTTAACAAATTCAAACCAAACCAATTAATTTATATATTATTTTTTATTTGATTAACAATGTCATTTTAATTATTTTGAGAATGTTTTTATACTATAATATGTAGATTTTTTCATTTATTTTCTCAAATACTTAAAAAAAATAAAAGATATTATATTGTAATATATTAAGTATCATCTTCACACTATATAATACATTTAAAATTCTTAAGTAAATTAAGAGGAATTATATTACAATTTTTATAATTTTGTTAATTTTTGTATATATATCAATTTAGTTAATGTTAGACAATCTATTTACTTTGAGAAAAAAATATTTTATTTTAATTTTAATTTTATTGGATATCTAATGATCAAAATCGAATCAATTCAATCAATATCATATTTGTTCGGTTCAAATTAAATAAAAAAATTATAAAATTTGAACCAATTAATTTTAATTGATCCCGATTAAATTTTCACTTAAATTTGAATTAACCTGATGGTGAATACCCATTATCAAGACACTACTAAAGCTTCCAAATAGTTTTATGTATAAAATTTGCAAAAGGAAGTTTGGATGAATTTAATTTTGCAAACTTGAGTTTTAAAAGCAACGTGATGCTATTATCATTTGAAACTTGGTTTGAACGAAAAACTTGGTTTGCAAATATAGGAGTGAAAGTTCTTGAACGAGAAATCGAAATCACCCAACAGGGAACTAGCAAGACAAATTGCACATCTTCAATTCTGGAGATATTCACAGTAGGCCATGAATAGCATCTGCTGAGGATGGTTTTAAATTGTAATTGCACTCACACTTGCCATCTTGTTTTCCCTTAATATTATGGAAAGATACTCTCAAGCTGTCGATATTATAGTTGATCCTTGAAATATCAAATGGATTAGTGCACCCACAGGCCTAACATGAAAATGGATTTACCAAATTTATAGATCGGCCTTTTTTTTTTTTTTTTGCTATTCTATAAACCAACCTTATATATAAAATATAAATAATTATTTTATTTGTATAAGAGTGTTTTTGAAAAAAAAAATTGATAAGAAATTTTTAGAAATTCTTTTAACTTTTTAATTCAGTTTTTATTTATCATAAGCATTTATGAATTAAATTTTAATATTATTTAAATAAAAATAATCTTATACTACAATATAATTTATTTATCATAAATCTAAAATATAATTTATATATTTAAATGATATTTATTTATATATATAATTTATTTTAAATTTTAGTTATATATAACAAACATTTTATCACTATATTGCAGTTAAAATACTAGTTTGTAGACTTATACAATACATATGAAAATCTATAGTAATACAAACAGTTTCAGTGAAAATGAAGACAGGATAAACAAAGGTAATTTTGGTTTGTTTAAGATTGGGAGATATAAATTAAACCATTTAAAAATAGTGAAACCAAATTGAATTTTAAAAATAAATAACGGTTCAAAAATATAAATTTTCCTTTTATTAATATGTATTTGTAGGTGATTTCTTTATGCATCAGCTATTTCTATGATTAGGGACCTTTTGTTATCTGTTATTATGTAATGGTGTCTTGAACTGGACATCTCTTATCAATGAAACTTTTAGCATGTAAAAAAAAATTACAACTCACATTATGATTAAATTTTCTTGTACAGATGGGACTTGGAAGGATTAAAGACGCTGATGAACTCATAACGAATGCAAAAGGAAGGAGATTAATTAGTTATACACCCTCGTGCATGCTTATTGCAAACAAGGCGATTATGTCAAGGCATCAAACTTGCTATTTAAGATTGCTGATATAGTAGGAAAAATAGTCTTGGTGATCTCATAGAGCTTTTATCCATGGAGAAGTTTCTCATGAAACTACTACTTCGCACAGGAAAGCTCGATTGTGATTAAAAACTTTATGCAACTTTATCTACTACATTGCAACTTTGAGAAGGTTGGCTTGTCTGCTATATGTTTATGTGATGCAAATGCTCAGTGATCAGCTTTCTTGTGATCATCACACATGCAAACGAAAAAGGACAACCGATTATGAAATACATAGAGCTTGTTTAGGTAAATTTCTTCAGAAACACTTCTAGAATAATAAAATAAGAATAAAAAATGAAATAAATTTCTTTATAAACTAAAATTAACTTATTCATAAGTTAATTTATAAAAACCTTTTCCTATTAACTTCTCCAAAATCTCATTTTTAATTCATCCATACATTAGTTCTAACTTATGAAAAAGGTTGTTTTGATTTTTATTTTTATTTTTCACTCTTAGAAGTGTTTCTGGATAAACTATCCAATCAGATGCATAATGGAACATCTTTTAGAGACTGGAGCTAACAGTAAAGCCTAACAGTGGAGTGCTTTTGAATCAATTATGGAAGTTTCATATTTGTAAATTGATTTAATGGTTGTAAAAAGGGTTCATGGGTTTACTTGTCCACCACAATATAAAAGTTTCACCATGACATATTAATGAAGTTATGTTGTTTTAGAATTGTGTAAAATAGTACCCGGAAGCTCTATGGTGTATTTAAATATCATTCATGCAATACCAAATAAGTTAAAAAAAAAAAAACTGTTTCCCTTGCTGTTTAGAAGACAAAATAATGTCCTGCGAGATTTTGTACAGGCAAAAGAATAAACTTAGGAAGCAAGGAGCGTCTTACAGTTGGCCAAAGTGAAACTCTACTAGAGAAGTTCCTTCTGTTTGGGTTGAAGGACAGGCGGATCAACATCAATCCCCATATTTGCCGCAGTGCCCGCTATAATTCTCATAGCCGATTCCATACTCGAGCAATTCAAGTCCGGTAGCTTCTCAGTAGCAATGGCACGCAATTGATCAATTGTCACCTTTCCTACCTTTTCCCCCTTGGGGTCTTTTGAACCCTTTTCCACCCCTAAATAAATAGCAAATCAACATAATTACCCACTTTGAAACTTTGAACATTGAAAAACACAAAAAGTTTTGCGTAGAGCACTAAAGCCTGATGCTATATCAAATCCTGTGTAAAACCTTAACATATATATATCTCTTGCATTTTGTTTAATTAGATTAATTGTGTGCGTAACGAAGCAAGCCTATTCACTCAAAAACTGAATTTCAGTTAACGAAGTAAAATACATTTTATGCTAGGAATGCAATTACAATCACCAACATCAATCTATTATGTCAATCATGTGCAATGCAAAGTTCTTCACCCATTAAAAGCACCTGGTGGCAAAGGCAAGTCAACCCAAGACATGATGTTGTCAATAATACTCAAAGGGTGTGACACCTAACAACACCTCGTAATAATAAATAAGTAAATAAAACCCTCACAAAGAAGTACTCGTTTCTAGTGTAGGATGAAATTGATGTAATATGAAACAAATGACATTGCACAACATTATTGGAATAAATGTAAAGTATTATAAAATTTAAATCAGATCTCAACTGTTGAGAACTAAGATTACTACTCTAGAATATACAAGCAAGTATTTTCCCATGTACAGATCCAGTTTAAAATCATTGGGGATTGAAATGCAAAGTAAAAGAAGATGGCTAAAACAATTCATGCTTTTGATCCTTCAAATTTATACCCAATTTCAAATATTAGTACTGATTTTTATGTCAACCAATTGTTTTAAGTCGGATAAATATATCCCAATCCTTGGCAATGTAGCAACAAGGTTTGTAAATCTCTAACGTGCTAGAGGGGATGATTTTTTAAAATCTTTTTTTGTTTGGTTAAATTTTGAAGAGGAGAGAGGAGGACAACAAAATCTCTCCTAAGTCCTAACCTAATTTTAGCCCCCTTCAATATTGGGGGAATGTGGAGGAGAGGAAGAGATTTTAAAACATTTTAAACATAATATCCAAAATATCCTTATTTATGTTATTAAATTTAAAATTATAATGATACAAAAATGAATTGATTTTTTTAAAATCCTTCTCCTCCGGAACCAAATTACCTCCCCTCCTCTCAACCAAACAAAAATTCTAAGGGCTACCCTCCCCTCCTTTCAACTAAACGGACCCTTAATGACATGGAAAAAAATGATGATGGTAATGAGAAAGGATGAATTAGTGACATGTGAGACACATGAAGAAATGTTTGGCATTGGCAGTAACAAATTAAAGTAGCGAGAACAACATAATATGAAAGAGGTTGGAAGCAATGAGCGGTAGAGTAGAGAAGTGAGAACATACCAGCGGCTTTAAGAAGCAGAACCGAAGCAGGCGGGGTCTTCAATACGAAAGTAAAGCTTTTATCCTACAGAGAGAAAACAAAACACATGTAAATAATCAACATGGAGGAAAAATAAGAAGAAATGAAGAGCAAAGAACAGACATCATAGACTGTGATTTCGACAGGAATGACATAACCAGGCTTATCCGCGGTTCTAGCATTGTAATCCTTGCAGAAAGCCATAATATTTACACCCTTCGAACCAAGAGCAGGGCCAACGGGAGGAGCAGGTGTAGCTTTCCCAGCTTCAAGAGCCAGCTTTATAATTCCAACCACTGCACCCAGAAAACAAGAGTTAGAAAAGGTCACAAATTTGAAGTGGGTGTGAGTTGAAAATGAAGGTTAGGTTACCTTTCTTGGCCTTGCCAGCGGGTTTAGGGGGAGCCATAGCAATGACATTGAAGCGCCTTCGAATTGGGATGGAAGAGGGAGAGAGAAGAGGGGTTTTGTTTGCGGGGAAGGGAAGAGAAATTAAAGAGAATTTGACGGAAGTGGAAAAGATAGAAGAAGAAGATGAAGAGAGTGAGGGAGAGGTGAAGAGAGATGAGGCCATTGAAGAGAGTTCCCCCAACACCAACACAGCTCACTTTGGATAAAAAGCCGTATCCTATTCTATAGTCTCCCGCAGCCTGTAAAAACTCTACAATATCTGCTATTAAATACAATGGACTCTTTTTCTTCATCTTTTTTTTTTTTTTTTTTTCTCACCCTTAATTCCTATTTATTTTTTAAAGTAAAATGTCTTTTTTGTCATTTAAATATATAACAAAATTTGATTTTAGTTTTTCTAAAAATTTAATATGTCTTTTAAGTTTATATTTTAATACAAACACATTTTTAATGCTAAAGTTTTTTTTTTCTTTATTTTTTGGAAGTAACAACACTTGGGGTTGAAAACAAATGTATCATTTGATTAAAGACCTATCACTTATGCGTGTTATATTTAAAAAATGAAGTTCTTTTAAGTATAGTTTATTATTACAAACAATTTATTTTAAATAGTACTTTTAAGATCTTATGTAATTGTTTTTTATTTGTTTATCAAAATTAACTATGTTATTAATTTTTAAGGACAAAATTACGTGACAGTGCCAAAAAAGACGATAAATTATCGTAATGCGATATTCTTGTTTTGATTTTGACAAAACACAGGTCTTTTCTTTTTTAATATAATCTTGAATAACCTTTTCATACTACCATGAGGATTTTATTGCTTATTTGCCATCGACTAACAAATGATTAATCTGAGGAGGGGGCTATCATAAACACCAGGTTATTCCCTTGAAAACAAGTCATATTAGCCAAACTATCAATATTGTTTGCGAAACTATAAACACGTGTAATTCTTACTAGCCAATCTAAGGAGAGAACATATTGAGTTGCTTGAACCAATAATTTTATTGCTTTACTAAATGTTACATCATTATATTTTAGAGGACCTGAACTCCAAAAAATACTTAGTTACTATCGGGATTGTGCACTTAAAAAAAAAACAAATCAAAAAGTAGAAACGTCACCTAAATAAAGCCATCATACTTCTATGATGAAGATCGTCTCCGCGTATACTTGTGCATTATCTAACATCTTAAATATTTGTCATATGATGATTGCATAAATTTCAAAACTTAGTGCAAGTGTGGAGTTCATGAGCTAAACTGAATTCCCTCATTAAAATCCAAAATAAGAGCTGGATCACAAAAAGAACCAAGAGATTCAAAGTATAAAATAACAGCCTTCATGTGTTTTCCTTGTACCAAATAACTCATCTAAGCAATTTAACTCTAATCCATGCTTAAGACCCTTGGAACTTTAATATAAGGCTCCTCGTAGCTCGGGACAGAAGCGATCATGCCGTCCCTGTCAAGGATACACCACTCTGTTAGCACCATTAGTTTTCCTGCTGTGTCCAATTGACAAATAATGAACAACCCACTCACCTATGATCAAATGTTTCAGGAGCATTCTCACGCAGATTGTTTTCAGTCTCTACAGATAACACACAAAATTAGCAAACAAAATGTGAAGCCAAACCAATGAGCAAATGATGCCGTCTGCCAGCCATTCATGTAAAAGAATCCATGTGCATAAAAAATTTGTACAGAGGAACATTAACCGAAAATCACTTGAACATATCAATTGAATAATTGATTTTGAATGTTTCCCCCTTAGTTGTCCATGAAAAAGTAGAGAGAAAAGACACCCCAGACAATTTGTACAATTATTTGAACGAACTGGCATGACCAAGTGGAAGTATAAGAAAGCAATGACTTGATGTTGAAAGTGGATAATATTGTTCATTTACCAAAGTATTGGATTTTTTTTTGGGTGAACCCTGAGTTTATCCTACTAGGAGTTAAGAACTAATCTTTCAAAATACCAAAATCTATTTTAACAATTAACCTTTCTTAAACATGTGGCGCTAAACATTCAATTCGGAGATCTGTGTGAAAAAATATTTGCTAAATTTTTAAATAATTCTTAGTATTTCGAGTGATTAACTCCTAATTTTAAGCAGAGAAATACCTAACTTCAGCACACAGTAAAGCAAATCCAAAGTAAGGATAGAAAGCATTGATAGATGAAGAAAGTGATTATAAATGTTAACAGAGAACCTGCTCTGATGGAGGGTTCAACGCTTTCAAGATCAACACTCTGCAGCTGTCCAAGCCTGCCACACAAGACACGTCAATCAAAAAATTCAGAAGTTTTGGTTACTCCAAGCACAATCTAGGCCTCCAAAATCCAAATTTTATGTTAGCAATAGCAACCATTCTCTACTATTGAAAATTCTATCGATTCAAGTTTCATCATGAGACCTATCGTAATTTTATAATCCTCAAATAAATTCTAGTCAATAACAAAAAAATGTGTTTAAAATAATGCATAAAGTGATAAGATCATTTTCTCAATTCATTAGTATATCAAATTTACAAAGTGATAAGATAGAAGGGATTTGACTTACCAGTCTATAACTTGTTGAATTTTGGGAGCAATTTCTTCAACCTGTAATAAGATTTTATATTAATATTCGAAACTTATACAAAAAAAAAAAATGATTTAATTCGAAAGAAAAAGAAATAAGAGAAAGACCTCGTTTGGGGTAAGGGAAATTTGAGCTGTTTTGGCCAAACGAGGCAAATCCGGGGGTTGAAGAGAGGAGCAAGTAGTGGCGGTTGACGAAAAGCTTCGAAACTTGAACAACTTGCGGTGGACGCTAACCGTTACCTTCGGGAAGAAACTGCTTCTGTGCCACACTGCATTCGCACTCACCGAAGCTCCTCTCAGTAACCCCTTACTACTCATCTTTCTCACAATTCCTTATCCCCCTAACCTCTGAGGTTATTTAAGAAAACCTTTTAATTTTCAATTCAGTCCCTCAACAAAATCAATATTCTCGGAACAGTCCTTCTATAAATATAGCATTTTTCTTTTTCCCAATTTTAATTTTTCATTCGCGAAACCACCGAGAGAGCGTCGTCGTCGTCGTCGTC